CCCTTAGTGGAATCACGGCATCTTGCATTGTGCGAGGGTGTGAGGAGATTATGGTGGCCCTAGTGGCTTCTTGAGGAGCATTGTGCCTCCACACCGCTCCAAACAGAGATTAGCATCCGCAAGGGTGTGAACTTCGGGATACATCATCGTCTCCGCGTGCCTCTATTATCTTTTACCCGAGCCCTTTACTTATGCACTTTACTTTGTGATAGTCATATTGTTCTTTGTCATATATCTTGCTATCACATAGTTACCTATCTTGCTTAGCATAAGTTGTTGGTGCACATAGGTGAGCCTAGTTGTTGTAGGTTTTGTGCTTGACAAATTAACCGCTAGGTTTATTCTGCATTTGTTCAAGCCTAAACCATAATTATTTTAAAGCGCCTATTCACCCGCCCTCTAGGCGACATCCACGATCTTCCAACCATTCTCACATGAAAATTCGTTGCGACGAGACCTTCGAAACTAGATCCCATGTTGGTATGTTCCGATGACTTCTTTTTCTGGATCAAAAGTTATTAGGCCCATGCTAAGTAAGTTAACATGTCTCTGGTTCATAAGTTATCATCTTGTTTATATAGAAATTACCGGGGCATAAAACTGGTCAACCAACCTTCGTCCCACGTGCAAATGAACTAGAAGACATAATGGCTGATGTCATCCCAGATTCCCCCCAATTTCAAAACTTCAAAATGTTTTGTAACCCATGTTCACATGAAAGATTTGTCGTGACGAGATCTTCAAAACTAGATCCCATATTGATATGTTTTGACGACTTTTTATTACAAGGCCCAAGCTAAGCAAGTTATCACGTCTGTAACAACTAAGTTACCATCTTGTTTATATAGATGTTACCGGGGCATAAAAATGGTCATCCAACCTTCTCCCCACGTGCAAATGAACTAGAGGACAGAATAGCTGATATCATCCAAGATTTCCCCCTATTCCAAAACTTCAAAATGTTTTGTAGCTCAAATAGTTGGTCTGGTCGAAAAACAATTTTCACATAAAAAACCGTCATGACAAGAGCTTCAAAACTAGATCCCATGTTCATATGTTCTGACGACTTTTCTGGATCAAAAGTTACCACTTCTGGGCTAACTAAGTTATCACGCATGTGCTACGTATATTACCATGTTGTTTAGACATATATTACCGGGGCATAAACCTGGTTTCTCTAACCTTCTTATCAGGCCTACCTCGCTGATTATGTGAGTTATCACGTGCACGATGCATATAGTACCAAACTATTTACACGAAAGTTATCGAGGGTATGTTTTTAAACAACCCCCTCATGAAAGTTACAAGGACTGAGGCACATAAGTCATCAGGTCTGTGATGTGCGAGTTACCGTGCTATTCACACAAAAAGTTATTGGGAGATACATCATCAACCCCTCCCCCCTCCTGTGCCAAAGTTATCAAGACCGAGGTACATAAGTTATCAGGTCTGCGATGTGTGAGTTACCATGCTATTCGCATAAAAGTTACCAAGGGTATTTCATCAACCATCCCCGCCCCCTACCAGCGCCAAAGTTACCAGGAGCGGGGTAATTAAGTTATCAGGTATGTGATGTGTAATTTACCATGATATTAACACAGAAGTTACCGGGGATACATTTCGTCACCCCCCCCACTGGGCACCAAAGTTACCAGCGGGGTACATAAGTTATCGGGTCTGCGATGTCTAAGTTACCATGCTACTCACACAAAAGTTACCGGGGGTATATTTCATCACCCCCACCCCCGCCCCGCCCCGCGCGTGAAAATTACCATGAGGTGCACATAAGTTATCATGTCTTCAGAACGCAAAGAATATCATGTTATTTGCACAAAAATTATCGTGGTATATTTTGACAACTCCCCCCATCTCCACCCCCGTCGCCAAAGCTACCAGGACAAAAGTTACCGATGTTCATACGTTAGTTTGCAACAATCCTTCCCCCCGGGACAAAAGTTACTAATGTTCGTATGTTGCTTATCAACTCCGTGGTGTGTAATTTACCATGTTATTTACATAGAAGTAATCGGGGTATATTTTTTTAATAATTTTTTTATCGGGTCAAAGCTATCATGGTGTTTGTGTGTCAATTATCAACTTTGTGATGTGTATATTACCATGTTACTTACACAAAAGTTATCGAAGAAATGTTTTCAATAACTTTTTTTTGCGAGAGTTCAATAACTTTTTTCCGGGGTCAAAAGTTATCGTGGTGTTTGTGCATGGGTTATCACTGTGTCGTGCGTAATTTATCATGTTATTTACACAAAAGTTAACAGGGAGTCATAAGGCTACAAAAGTAAAGAATGTTCGAATACCGGTGAAATAAACCAGCAAGGTTGCTAGTTTGTCGATTCAGTAAATTCAATAGGTAAAATAGTCTATTGAAGTGTTAAAAAATCAAACACTTAATCAACTTCTTTATGTGACCCTCCGCAGTAAAAAAACTTCTTTACGTGACAACATAGCGGAGGAGACAGGTAAAGTAGCGTGTTTCCGTTCAATTAGCCAAGAAAAGATTACCTTGTTGACTTTTCACCCTCAAGATTATGTTATTTTTTTTGCCTTTTATCCATTTGATTTAAGGAATCAAGCATTAATTGCGGCATTAAAATGACACTAAAAATGGGACGATTGCATGGTTGTGCACGAAATGGGAAGATAATGCTTCGAAATTAATTCCTTGAATCAATGCAGGAAACGCTAAACCACATCTGAGGAAAAAAATATTCCTCTAATTGTGCTGATGTGGCTCCGTGATTAAATAAGTTCAAGTAGATTGACTCTCCACTTTTTTACAGAAGTTGACGGATGGTGATCTGGTCGCTGGGTCGATTTCATTCACTGCAGACCAGAGAGTTCGAATCGCCGGATTATTGTTTTAGTTTTTCCGCCCGTGCGAATCGCGAATCATTTTTTTTGGACCGTGCGATACGGATCGAACGGGGAGAGAGTCGTTCGGATATGTACCTAAAATTAGGACGTCTGGAAAATAGCTTTCTCGAATACTAAAACCTTCCATTTCCAACAAAGAAACTCTGTTCATTACTGCATGGCAAAGATGATATGCAGTTCAAGCTTGAACAAGCAGATTAATGAATAAAACAAAGACACATGGTGTGGACAAGAGAAAAGGAAACAGAGAATAACGGAAGTTCATTACATGACGACATATAATTAGTTTTTTTTAGAAAAGGAGGAAGACCCCCGGCCTCTGCATCTGGACGATGCATGTAGCCATTTTATTAATTATTCACAATAGACCTTACAAAGAAATACAACAGTAAGTCTGAAGGCACCGTCTAGGCAACATCTGTCGCTACTCCTATCCAGTTGATGAAGGGATGCTGATAGTCCAGGCCTAATACCACAGACCTCGCAGTCAAATCTAACATCTAAGACCTGAGGCCCCAACCAAGCCACTTGCCAGGTACGGGGCACACACCGGTCCGGCGTGCTCTCAGAGGCCGCCGCCACCAACTACCACCACTCCATCTTCAGGGCTGTATTGACGCATCATCCTTGCCCGGTCTAGCTGCCGTCGACGCCACCACGTCGCCCAACGGCACCGTCTCCTTGCACGCGAACTGCTGAGCATGTGTCGCAGTCGCCGCCGGTACCCCTCAGCATCATGCCGCCAAGTACCACCAGCCGACACAACTTGAAGTCTCTGAAAGATCTGTCGTGCGTAGCACCTGTCGACCAGGCATGACAAAGCGTAGCACCTGTCGGCCAGGCATGACTTGACATCTCCACCGAAGCTTCATGCAAGGCGAAGCCGCTCCACCTCCTGCCTCTGACTTCCAGCGCTGCTCCACAAAAGATTCTCCCAAGAGAGAAACGACACCGTAGTGCCGCCATCATCCGATCTAGAAAACCAGATCCTAGGGTTTCCCCCGGAGCAGCACAAGTGGGTCGACAGTAGTTACATGACGATGTCTTCATCAAGGTAACGGCACAGATCGCCGCCATCGTCCGAAGCCGAACCGGAGGTTGGGCGACTGCAACATGGCCGCCGTCGCCGCCACCCGCTGCGACTACAGACCCGCTGCCACACTCCAGCCGCCGTTGTCCGCCATCACCACCAAGAAGATCAAGATCGGAACCGCCGCATCGATCTTGAGTAGCTGAGGCGCGAGCACAAGACCGCCGCCGCCGAGCCGCTCGGGCTTTTCCCTGGCGGCGTCACCGGCGGCGGGGGAGAGGAGAGTGGTGGCGGGGGGGAGGGGAGGGAGGCGGGGACGCCCCGGTGCAGCGCGGCGGCGCTGCACGGGAGCGGGGGTAGGGAGGAAGGATCCGGCGGCGGCTCTAGATCGGATCGCGAGCACCTCCTGGTCGCTAGTCGCTGGACGTCCCGATCCTTTTTTTACGGACCTCCTCACGACATATAATCAGTTGAAACTAGATCAAGCAAATGAATGAAGAAAAAAAGAAAGTAGCAATACAGCAAGCAGTGAAACCTCTAAATTAAAGCGATACTGAATAACGTTGTTGGAGCAGAGCAGGAAGGGCCTTAGTTCAGATCATGTTCTTTGACTTCAGTCAAGGATTTCTTTTTCAACACCTGGAGCCTGACCTTTATAATCCGTATGTGTCTTTCTCCATAATCGCCGTCAATTCTAGCTGAGAAAGCAAGGAAGAAATATGTGAGCTGGGATCTAAAACGAAGCATGAGGGCATGTACAATGCATAGCCTCAAGGTGATGCCTCGCATGCCATGTAGGATCGGATATGACGTAAAATAGGTTCGGATAGGGAAGCGGGATCCTCTCCAGGAGGCGGGTGCTTGAAGAGAAAAAGTGTGGTCCGGTGATAAAAGCTGAAAAGGTTGGAGTGAAAAGTAGAGATGTATGTATACTAAAGTCTTTATTTTCTATTTCTTTATGAGGCCCACTAGTGGTAGCTTGCATTGGAAAGAAAAAATAATTATAGGTGCCTCAAATTACTTTTTGTCATGAGGCATATATATCCATATGCCACCATTGTACATGCCCTGAATGTCAAGAATTAAATGAAAGAAAGCGTACATACTCCAGATCCATTCTTTTTCCTTGAACGTCAGTATCAATGTCGTCATGATAATAGTCATCGTCATCCTCATCATCAGTGTCTATATTTGGAGATTGAGATGCAAAATTGAGCAACAAGAGAATGGTTAATGTTGATATATATTAACAGGAAGCATGTGCAGGAATGTAGAGAGAAGGATTAAGAAAAAACAGCACATTCATTCATGATGAGTATCACGTGCTTTGTACCTTCTGGTATATATGGCTCCATACTAAAAGCAATGCTTGGTCGGTTAGGATGGGCGTTCAATGCATTTCTCACCGCAGCCTCCGCTTTCTCGGCCTCCTTAACTGTGACGCCATCCCAATGGATTTCAACCATCGCGCTCTGAAGTGAGAGCAGGTCAAGCAGGCCGAGCTCAAAGCAATCACCGTTACCATCTTCTTTGGCCACCCGCACACCCAAATTGAATCGGACTTGTTCTGCATTTGGCAAAGCTCCTTGCTGAAAGACTACCTGAGTGGCTGGCTGACAATGCAATGCAAAGGCTATCGTTAAACCAAACCCATCCGCGCCAATGACGAGCAACCTTTCTGTTTGGTGGGTGCTTTGCATCCAAAGATGGCGAAGAGAATGCAACCTCCCAAGGATTTGCACATCCTCCTGCCGCACTTCCTTGATTATGATACTGAACGTGGATAGGTTTGATAGATGCGAGGGGCCGCATCTCATTATCCACATCGGCAATGTAGAGCATGCCATGTGGTCTGAAAAGAACTCAAATTTGCGAAGACATCGCGGGGGTACCCAGCGTTCCCCCAAGAGACCCAGGTATGGTAAATCCTGGTAGCTAATATTCAGACTTTGGATATCATTCAGCTTGCATATAGACTCCACAAAAGCTTCCTCTAACTCGGGGCTCCCATGAAGGAAGTGAATCTCGAGCTCCCTCAGCCTTGCCAGGTTGCCAAGCTCTTGCACAGTGCTTGGAGAGGCATAGATCCTCTCCAACACTTCCAATGATGTCAGGTTACCCAAGACACCAGGCGTCCAATTGCAGCATATCAAAACCTTTACGACCATCAACTTTCTTAGCTTGCACATAGATGACGGCAAAACTCTCATGTCAAAATTGTATTGTGCATCTATCACCTGCAGAAATTGCAGATTTCCTATTTCCTTTGGGAGTTCACGTATACCAGTTCTTCTTAGACCTAGGTATCTTAGGTGAAATAAATACACAATATCCCTCAAGTTAACTTGACAGTTAACTGCCCCAAGATCGCATCCACTCAAATCCAATACACGTAAAACTTCCAAGCTAGATAGAGCAGGCATGATAGTCATAGCTGGAAAAAAGACAATAATGGACCTTACTTGAGACATTCTCATTGAATTAACGAGAGGAGTGGTTGGTGGATCTAACTCGAAATTTTGGAGAGATATCCTACGGATATTGCCACGAGAACACGTCATATTCTTATTACTATCCAATACTATAATGAACTTTGCTTCACCTGACAAGGAACGAATCAGATCAAGCACCATATCATGCACACGACAACTTTTTATTTCACAAAAACCAGTGTATATTGGCTGAATCATGTTTCTATTTATCAGCTCGTTGAAATAAATTTCCCCAATCTCAAATGTGCTAGTTAGTTCCTTTCCATGCTGCACAAATTCTTCACATATCCACTTCCATATAAGTTCTTCTTTGTCAATCTCACGGTCTTCAGGATACATACTTAGATATAATAAACAAGTCTTCATATCAGAAGGTAGATCATAATAGCTAAATGATAGTATCCTCTGCATTTCCTCCATACTTGCATCTTCTGTAAGTCCGCGACCAATCGAGTTTACCAGAACATGCCATTCAAATTTTGGCTTTATCTGTTTACCAGCAGCAAGAAGACTAGCAATAGTAAGGATGGCTAGTGGCACGCCGCCACATTTCCTCAATATATCTTTAGATACCTTCTTAAGTTCATTAGGACAACCATGCTCACTTGAAAACACTCTTTTGTAGAAGAGCCTTGCAGAGTCATCATCTGAGAGAGGTTTCATTTCATAAATGGAATCATGAGTGGAAGGACAACATGCTTTAGATACACTCAATATGCGGGTTGTCGTGATTAGTCGACTTCCAAAATTGTTCATATTAGAGAAAGCCAACTTGATATCTCCCCATAGTTTTGCATCCCATATATCATCAATTATGACGAGGTATCTGTATCAGTTGTGAGAGAGCATTTATGAAGTGTTTACGTATACATCACAAAGGCTAATGAAGCGCCATATGAACACAAGAAACCATATGTAATTTAGTAGGAAAGAAAACAAGTGGACACCATACGCCAAACCCGTCAATAATCTATTCGATGATAGCATTAATTGTGAACTGAGAGTAAGATGTGTGTCCAAGCAAATAATAATAATCATTCAAGAATGTGTAAATAAAGACAAATGGACGACATGTAACAACACATGTAGTTACAAAATATTAAACTATAATAACTAATATAAAAACCTCAATTACAATTCACTTCATCTATTTGAAGAGAGAAAATGTCAAACCAAAAAAAAAAACAAATATGTATCTAATCCACAGTCTGGAGCTTGTCAATAAAGATATGTAATGCTAGTTTTTTTTTAATGACTTGAAGATCAGTAACCACGTCTGCCACGGGGTAAGATGCGTAATGCTAGTTAGCGACACGATGACAGAGACTAAAGCCCTGTTTGGATCTGGTGTAACTAATCCAAGCAAGACCTACCATGGTATGTCGACCGTAATTTTTCTAGAGCCATTTATATGCTGCTTACTACGAGCAATAGGTGGGCACAACTCACATAGGCCACAACATGTGGCTGCGCATGGTGAAGTCATGGCAATCAACTCAGTTCCACAAAATGTACAAAAATATAAACCTTGGTCTATATATGCACGTCATTTTGATGTTATTCAGACGATATGATCTTCAACATAAAATTTCACTTTGTAAATTCATAACACAAAATATAACTCAAAATATTTGAGAGAACCCAAATTTGGTGATGGTAGCATTTTTTTAGCAATAGATGACAATTCTGTGACCAATAGTGAATCCATTTTTTCACAAAGTAAGCATGACTTATTAGGAAACATAACTAAATATCATGAACATTTATTTTTGGAAAGGTGAGATCTTTTTTGCATTATTTAAACAAATATACTAACCAGCCTTGAGCAGATCTCAATAATCTCTCCACTTTAATATGTCTTGAGAAAATAAATTAATAATTGACGTCCTCCTCGAGAAAAAATTCTAGAAATTGTAGCTCTACATGACTTCTACATATATAATATAATTGTACAATATTATTTCTCTGTAGAATATCTATAAAATGTCAATTTGGGAATAATACTAACTAGTAGGGCAGGGTTTTTTTAAAAAGGAGGATTACCCTCGGCCTCCACATCAAAATGATTCATACGGCTATAAATGAGTAGGACGTTGGAAAAGAATAGATTCTAAGCTCTCTACCAGTTAACACAATCATTAAGTGACCGCTTCGGTAGCATGCAAACAACAACCAAACTGGTCAAGGGACGCATACCTCTTATCCTGAAGTAATTCACGGATTTCTTCGATAAGTTGCCTTTCATCCAATACCATGAGATTGATATTAATGTAAATTTGCTTGTTTAGACCAATGAGAATGTCCCTGAATATCTTCTTTACGTCAGGATTCCGACCAACTGGAACAAAAGCCCAAGAATGGAAACCTCCTTTGATCTTATCATATACTGTTCTAACAAGAGTGGTCTTGCCTAGTCCTCCGAATCCAACTACAGAGACTATCTTTAGTCTCTTCTTGCACAGATCTTCATCTCCTAAGGACAATAACTTGACAAGCTCTTGATCTCTCTTCCCATAGATGCCGACAAGCTCCGTAACTTCAGTGTACAGAGCTCGGAGACGAGGATCGATTGCTGTCCTAGCTGTAGGCTTAGGCACAATATCATAGACTGTATACCTTCCACGCCTGGCTGCCACATCTTTGACATCTTTCTGGATGTCCTTGATGGCGCTAGAAATCTGGCGGCGAGCCTTACCGTTGTTGAACAAGTTGGCCATCTTCTCCACAAGATTCGTGGGCTTGTTGCCATCATCAGCAGGTCTATTAGAGCCATCAACACGCACAAGGAACTTGTCAACGACGTCTTCCATGTCGTAGGAGAGCTCCCTGACCTCATCAGCCCAGAGCTTAACCTGCTCGTCGAGCTGATCACTCGCCACATCGGCTACCTTGCAGAGGGCAGCGTGCATAGTCTTCATCTCTCGCATGAGAAACTCGACACTTTCTTTGCCTTCTTCTGCAAGTTGTACTCCTCCATGAGCAGCTTCCCCAGCTTGGGGAGCAGGCTGCC